CTTTTCAGTCGCTCTGAAGGCGCGGCCTCTGTTTCCTCCTTCTTTCTTCCTTCCCCCCCCTTTTCTCGCCATAAAGCCCTTCTTTGATGAGCATCACTTTTATCGCTCCGAGCTACTTTTCTTTTTCTTCCTTTTGGTGGTGATAGTGATGTTTGCGGTTGAACTGCTGTTTTAAGCGTGACTTACACAACATTGCCAGGATTTTTTGCTTGTAGGGCTGCAGACGACTTTTGAGAGAGGAGTTGGCCAAGATGATTTGGCGGCATCGTCAGCTCTGCTGGTGGATTGCAAATGTCATCCTGCTCCTCCTTTTTGTAGGCCCAGCTATCGGCCAAGTGTCACCACCACTTCCTTCACTTTCACCACCTCGACTCACCCTCATTCCCGAGTCGATTGTCCGTGCCCCTGCCGGCAGCTCAGTGAGCTGGACCTGTCAGGCAGTGGGCAGGCCACGACCGGTGCTCCGGTGGACCAGGGAAACCGGAGGAAGTGGAAATGAAAATGGAGGAGTTTCACTGCCAAACGACAACGGGAACGGAACGCTCACCCTTCATTCGCTTTCCCCCGCCGACGAAGGTCGCTACCAGTGCTGGGCAAGTAATGAGGCGGGCGTGGCCGCTCGCGAGGTGACACTCTACGTCGTTGGCGGAAGTGCTGATAAGGAGGACGACTATTCGTTAAAGTGAGTTTGCTTTAAAATCTTTAAAACCTAAAAATTTAGTTTTTTTCTTTAGAATTGACGAAATCGTCCGCGTTACAACTGCTTCACTTTATAGCGAAAATCAGCACCGCAGTAACAAACCGGAAGTGAAACACAAACGGCGAAGTGCTGAGGTAAAACATGCGGAGACGGCTCTCGTCGACATGGACGCTTTTGTTCGCCTGATGGGCGCTCTTTTGCGGCGATCCGATGGTGGAAAGACAGTTTTTCCTACCATTACTTCAACTGAAGCCACAAGCGACTGGCTGACGCCCGTTCAGGCGCTCAGTCTGCTGAACTACACCGGCTGCGTGGGCGGGGCGCAGTTTCAGGTGCTCGACTGTCGCCCCTATGTTCGCTTCCGCTCAGTGACGGGCATTTGCAACAATCTAGGAGGACTAAAAACGGGAGCCAAATCTTGGGGCTCGGCGATGACCGCCTTTAGGCGACTGCTGCCGGCGCGCTATGAAGACGGACTGATGAAGCCGCCCGGGTGGTTTGAAGGGGAGGAGGAGGGAAAACCTCTGTCAAAAAGGTCACAACACCCACTTCCCAGCCCTCGACTGGTGAGCGAATTGCTGCTGAGCACTCGTCAGGTGACGGCGGACGCCACTGCCAACCACCTGTTGATGCAGTGGGGCCAGTTTCTCGCCCACGATCTGACTTTCGCCGCGGCGCCGCCTCGCTCCTGGAACATCCTCGAGGACAATGTTCTCGACTGTCGGCGGACCTGTCGGCCGCGGCACGTTGAGCCCTGCTTTTCGGTGCGAAGAACTTCCTCTTCTTCCGCTTCTCAAGAACCTTTTCTTGCTCAAAATTCGACATCAAAATCCACAGATCAAAAGAGGAGGAAAATAAGGAGAAAATTGAGTAGAAGGAAAAAGCCTTCTTCAACTTTTGCCCACAAACCTGACTGCATTGAGATGGTTCGCTCTGCCGAGCTCTGCGGCACTGGCCTCACCTCTCTGGCCGGCGGCCGTTTGGTGGCTCGTGAGCAGGTGAACGCCCTCACCGCCTACATCGACGGTTCGCAGATCTACGGAAGCAGTGTGGAGCTGGCGAGACACCTGAGAGCGAAAAGTAGTCCTGATCGAGGACTGTTAAAGACTAATATAGTGGATGGAAGGGAGTACCTGCCCCTTAGTGAGGAGCATCCGATGGACTGTCAGCTGCAGCCGAGGTCAGGTGGAGGTGGTGGTAAAGGAAGTGGTTCTGGTTCTGGTGCTGGTGGTCTCATGGACTGCTTCCTCGCCGGCGACCACCGCGCCAATGAGCACATTGGCTTGCTAGTGATGCACAACCTGTGGCTACGGCAACATAACCGCCTGGCACAGGAGTTGAGGTAAGTGATAGAGGAGGAGTTTTAAAGAAAGTTCAAGTGTGACCTTTTTCATTTTTCAACAGACGCCTTCATCCCGACTGGAACGGCGAGCGTCTCTACCAGGAGACAAAGTTGATTGTCGGTGCTCAGCTGCAGCTAATCACCTATCGAGACTGGCTGCCGAAGATCATTGGGAAGAGGGTAAATGCAAAGAGGAGNAAAGGAGAATTGTTGATAAAGAAAACTTCCATTTTTAACAACTCGACTGTTACACCACACAGGCCATGACCCGTCTGCTGGGTCCCTATCGTGGCTACAACACCTCCATCGATGCCTCTATCTCCAACGTTTTTGCCACGGCAGCGATGCGCTTCGGCCACACTCTGGTGCGATCGGAGCTGGTTCGAAAGCTGCTGATGAGNGAATTGTTGATAAAGAAAACTTCCGTTTTTAACAACTCGACTGTTACACCACACAGGCCATGACCCGTCTGCTGGGTCCCTATCGTGGCTACAACGCCTCCATCGATGCCTCCATCTCCAACGTTTTTGCCACGGCGGCGATGCGTTTCGGCCACACTCTGGTGCGATCGGAGCTGGTTCGAAAGCTGCTGATGAGAAAGAAGGAGAAAACGACAGTTTCTGCTGGTGTTTCTTCAAGCGGAAACCAAACCAAAGCCCACCACCAAAAAGATGACCACCCAAACATGAACCTGCGTGCCCTCTTCTTCGCCTCTCACCTGCTCTACGAACCGGCGTTGGTCGACTCGCTGCTGATCGGCCTCGCCGCCACGCCCCTAAAGCGACCCGGCCTCGCGGAGCAGGCCATCAGCGCCGAACTGACCGAGCATCTCTTTGAGCGCTCTCGAGAGGCGCCGCTTGATCTAGCTTCGCTGAACATTCAACGCGGCCGCGATCACGCCCTCCCCACCTACAACAGCTGGCGTCGATTTTGCGGCCTGAAGGAGGCGGCCACCTTTGAGGAGCTGCCCATTGGAAACAGTTCGACCACTGTTCGCCGGAAGCTGGCCCGTCTCTACGGAAGTACGGAGAACTTGGATCTTTGGGTGGGCGGCATCCTCGAGGAGATCATCCCTGAAGAAGACGGAAGTTTACCCAAAGTGGGTGCCACCTTTCGCTGTCTGCTTTCGGAGCAGTTTCGCCGCCTGCGAGACGGCGACCGGCACTGGTTCGAGGCGGAGGGCATTTTCACCCCAAACCAAAGGGCCGAACTGGAGCGGAGCACCAGCCTGGCGGAGATCGTCTGCGCTAACAGCGACGGCGGAAGGGCTGCCGATTCGCAGTTTCCGGTGGACGCATTTTTGCTGCCAAATGATGAGGGGAATCCACTGGTCAACTGCGCCAGCCTGCCCAAGCTCGATCTGAGCAAGTGGTAAAAACCTTCTAAATAAAAACAATCTACTCTTTTATTATTATTATACTCGTTTATCTTTTGGAATGACGACAGGCCATACAGGCGTGATGAAAAAGAGAAGGAGGAGGAGGAGAGAGAATAAAAGAAAGAAGAACTAAAGGAGACCTAGAAAATAGGTTAGAAGAAGGTACGGAGGGATTCACACACTTAAAGGAAGAGTAGCGCAATTGAGTGAGGGTGAAGAAGATGAGAGAAGAAGTAGTAGTAGTAGTAAACGGTGTTGGTGGTGTAGATTGGTACCGGGAGATATATTGTGGAGAGAGAGTATCCGGGAATAATGCTTAAAACTTGTATGGTATTTAAAACGGGTAAACGGTATTTGAAATGGGGTAAAACGGTAAACGATGGTGTGTTCACTCGTCCTTCTTCTCAGCGGGCGCAGCAGCGACGGCCTTTTTTAGAAAGGGAACTCTGCGAGTAAATAAGAAGGTGTGTGATTAGCAAAAATGTGGTAATATGATGTACTGAAGCGACATACTTGTCACTGATCTCGGTGATCTTACTGTTGGCCAGCTCCAGGTACTGGTCAATCAGCGGCCGGTTCTGCTCGTAGAGCAGCGGCAGGGAGAAGGCGCCCAGGTAGAGGAGAATGATGACGGTGAGGCCGTTGAACCAGGCGCCGATGTAGGTGAAGGCCCAAAAGATGACGAGGTACTGAAGGTGCGGGAGAGCGAAAAAAGACGTTCAACATCTCAGCAAAGTAAACAAACAAAAAACTGTACCTTCAGCGAGTCGACAATGTCCTCCACCAGGAGTACGCTGCGAAGGCGATTGATGAAGGTGGTGCCGTGAATGATGGCCGACTCGACAATCTCGTGGATTCGCTCCTGAGAGGGGGTGATCTGAATCTCTAGGTACTCTCTGAGATGTGTGCGGAAAAAAGATAGTAGACAAGCGTTAGCATCACTCCAAAACAATTCAGTCCTCACTCTTGAAGAACACTCACTTGAAGGGATGTCCCTCGCCGGTCTTCTGCACCGCCTGCATCACGTTCTTGTAGACGCGAAAGGAGAAACTGGCCAGGAGGGTGAAGAAGAGCGTGTAGGCGACGACGCTGATCACCGAAAAAAAGGTGAGCGAGAAGAGGAGGACCAGGCCGAGGCCAAAGGCCGCCCCCGAGTGCTTCAGGTCGCGCCAGTAGACGAGCTCGGCGACTAATGGAATGGGTAAGATCAGATTAGCCAAAACATTAAGCATCACCAATAACCCCAACTTACCATTTGGTCCGAGGACGTTTTCAATGTACTCCCTGATTTGGTCTGTTTATCAAGAAGTGATTAGCTTTAGAAAGGGGTCAAAGTTGTAAAAACAAAAATCTTACCGGAACCAGCGGCGTGGTCGGCGCCATCATCCGAAGAGTTGTCTCGGCGGTTTTTGCGTCCCATTGTGGTAGAGGAGGAGGAAGACTTTAGCTGCTGCTGCTTAGGTGCTTCAAAAGCCGGCGACTGCTTCACGACCACTTCTTCTTCCTTAGGGGGCACTTCTTTCACAGGCGACGGCGGTGACCAGCTCAGTGTCTCACTCTCAGTCTTCTTCTTGGTCTCGACCACTACTTCCTCTTCTTCTTTAACCGAAGGAACAGGAGGAGGAGGCACAGCACTTGTTGAAGATTGAAGTTGCACTGATGGTGGTGACGGCGGTGACGGCGGTACAAAACTCGAGCCAAGAGAGGAGAAGATGGCCTCGGCTGACGTGGGCTGCTGCTCTTCTTGAGGATAGCTGCTGCTGCTGCTGTTGCTCACGTCGTCGTCGACACTTGCCTGCCGGGCTGTCGTCGTCGTCGTGTTGTCAGCAACGGCAGTGGTGGCAACAGGAGCAACAGGAGCAGCCGACGTCGACCACGACGGTGGCGACGATGGTAGCGGCGGCAAAACTGCTGCGGCCACTGTCTCTGTTACCACCGGAGCAGCACTGCTGAAGAAGCTGCTACTGCTGGCACTGGCGATCGTGGTTTCAGCTGCCTGACCACCACTACCAGCAGCAGGCGAATCAAAGGTCCAAAGTTCGGCTGGTTTGTTCTGTTCCGATTGTTCAGGGGACTTCTGAGCACCACCACCCCGATGACCGTCGTCCAGATCTGATGATGAGGAGGAGGACATTGTTGCAGGGGGAGGTGGTGGCGGCGGCTGTGAAGGCCGACTTCGAGTACTCTTCGGAGCGCCACTTTCGCTGGTCACTGGGCTGTTCGGTTGCTGCTGCTGCGGCTCTTGAGGTTCACCGGTGATCGCCGTAGTTGTAGTTTGAGTAACCGAGGAGGTGGACCAAAGTGAAGAGGACTCCTCAAAGGACATCTCCTTCACCTCGGTGCTGGTCCGAAGGCTGCTTTCCAGTGATGTGTCACCGTAAGTGAATTGCTGCTGCTGCTGCTGCGGGCGATCGGGACTGCCGCTGCTGGGCGGCAGACTGACCGCCTCCGGCTCTGAAGGCTCGAAGACCACATTGGAGGTGGTGACAATGCTCTCCTCGTGAAGGAAGGAAGAGCTTTCCTTTTCCTTAACATGCGTCTCTTTCAAGTACCAGTCCGATTCGTTCTGGTTGTTGTTGTTGTTGCTGCTTCGATTGCTGGCCTCGTCCTCCTCCTCGTCGGTCTCCTCGGGCAGGTCCGCCAGCAGGTTGTCGATGCAGGAGGTCTCCATGATGTTGGTCACATTGACACCAACTTGCTCCAGTGGCTTCGGTGGTTCAGTGAATGAGGATTGTTCTGTGGCGGAGATTATTGGCTGCTGCTTGTGTGCTTCGGTGCTCCAGTCATCCAGATCGTCATCCAGCAAGTTGGCTTTGGTTATTGCGGTGGAGGCCTGCGGAGGTGTGCTCACCGTAGCGGAGGAGGCTAGCGGGTCGAGATCAAAGTCCAGGTGGACGTAGTTCTGAGTGGGAGGCTGGCCGATGACGAACGCATCGGGATTGCTAAAGTCGAGATTCTTTTGGGCGGCTTCTTCCGGCGGCGGCTTCTGCTGATCATCGTCCACTTTGAAGATGGAGAAGTTGTCGTTCAAGTCGTATCGGGTAGCCTGGTGTTCTCCAGCTGCACCACCAAGAGCCGTCGTTACCGGTGCAACAAACGTCGGCAACTCGTCAAAGATCTTCTCACCTGAAGGAGCCTGCTTCGGTGCATCGGTTTGCTCCTCCATGATTCTTTCCAGCTGATTCAGCCCTCAGCCTGAAAAACAGAAAGGAGAATTAGAAATTGTTAACTAATAGCATCAGTCAGAAAAACTACTAACCAAAAGAGAGAGAGAGAGAGAGAGGGAGAACGTCGACAAATCCGAAATGAAGCGCGTCGGCGGCGGCGGATGGGCGACGGCTTAAGCTTACGAGGGCTTTAGTGGCACTGCACAGTGGAACAGACGTGGAACGCGCAGACAGCAGCAGTGTTCGGGACAACAGTCGGCGGGGCGCCGAATCGGGGCGAGAGTTGTGGCGAAAAGTACCGCAGTCTATATACTCGATCCAGAACGAGTGAACTACAGAGAGAGGAACTAGTACTTGAAGAGAGTGAGACAGAGGGAAACAGACACAAACTGACAGAACTGAAATGTGCGAGCGGCGGCGCTGAATCATCCGCGGCGGATTGTCTCAAATTCCGCGCATGCTGAGTACAGCATCTGCGAACGGGCGCGCAAAGCAGTGTTTGTTGTTGAAAAATTCAAAAGGCGCTCTTTCGCCGCCTCATCGGCGGTTGCCTTTTTATTTATCGGTTCTAATCTTCATCTTTTCGCTACCATCTACCAGATTCCCTTGAAACCAGTAAACTGGGTTTCAGGCACAAGGTACCAGCACCAGCTAAGTCCAACAAAGTCTTAGGCTGGTGGTTTTCTAATCAGTTTCTTCCTTTTAAAAACCCCCGCACAAAGAAATCATGATGAATCCATCCGGTCGAAGCTTCAGCAGCAACTACAAGGAGAACGACCGCTTCAACGCCTGGGTAAAGGAGCTAGGGGTCGAGGGGGTGACCAGCGACGACCTGAAGGACCACCCGGTGCTGCAGAAGGTCTTCCACCACCTGATGCCTCGTCTGCGGCTGAGGAAGGCCGTCCAGCCGTATGTCAGCCACGCCGAGTGGGCGAAGCTCGCCGCCGAAGCGGAGGCCAACGAGGCGGAGTTGAGGGCCATCAAGGAGGGCGTCTCCGACGTCGGTGACGGCGGTCAGCAGAAGCAGTTCCAAAACAGCCCAACTGAAGCAGTGCTGCGGAAGCAGCTCAGTCGCCAGCAGAAGCTTTTCCTCCTCGTCACCGGCTCGCAGATTTACCGAAAGTTGGAGGACTGCAACAACGGCAGCAGCAGCAGCTCAGGATCGACTTCGGCACCGGCAGAGCTGGCGGCCAAGCTGGCCAAGCTGATGGACACGCTGACGCGGTACTGCTCCGACGTGGACGCCGGAAACTTTGAGTCGCTGCTCAAGACGGACCTCGACTTCAACTACCACTACCACAAGCACGTCCTGCCGCTGCTTAAGGAAGACAAGCAGAAGGACAAGAGGAGCTCGCTGAAGGAGATCACCAGGCAGATTGAGGCGACGATGCGCCAGATTGCCACCACATTTGAGCAGGTGCTCGCCATGGCGATGACAATGGGCGATGAAGCTGAAGTTGA